AAAGTAATTGTTTATTATTATTATTTTTGAATTGGACAAAGTTCGATTGATTTTTGATCATTTGGACTTTATCTGTTTCTTTTGAAAAAGTCAAAAAAAGATGAACTAGATGCTCTTCTCGCAGATTTGTTGCCAAAACAAGAACCTAAAATAGAAGCACCAGAAAAACCAGTTGAAAAAGAACCAACGCTACCTCCTGATTCAATTAAAATTGACAATCTTCCTCCAAACTTTATAACTTCTAGGTAATTCTTTTCAATTGTTGTGATCATCTTTTTTTTTTTTTTGTTTTTAATCAAAAAAGATTTTTATTCTTTTTTTATTTGCAGCGGTCCGGCGACACCTACTATAACGACGCGATTCGTTCCAGATTTCACTACTTTTGAAGCAGTTATATTAGATATTCCTCCAAAGGTGAATAAATGAATAAAAATTATGATAAATTTTGTAATTCTGACAAAGTGTAATTTCAATTCGGCAACTCGACGGCACGATTCAAAACATTTGTTAGGAAATTGTGCATTATAACAAAGAAGTTCAAACTGCTGCTACATCTTTCGAGGAGCCACCACCATCTGAAGAAGAAATTCGTGAAAAGGTACGACTAGAATTTGAAGAACAACTAAAAGCAAAAGAAGCAGCTGCCGCAGAGTTACGTGCTAGGCAAGAAGCAGAAAAGAACAAAGAGTTAAAACTTTTAGGTAATATTTTGTATCCATTCTACTTGTCGAAAAGTAATTGCTAATTATTTTTTTTTTTTTCAATGTTTTAGAATTATCAGATGCAGAAAGAAAGAATATCATCGCGTCTCCAGAATTTAAAGAGTTCGTTGAACATTCTGCCAAAATGGTAGAAAGGGTTGTATGTGAGAATTATGATTTCATGAAAGATTACTCGTGCAGTGGAATTACACCAAGGTTAATTTTTTCTCCCAAGAGATTAGTTCGCCTTTACTACGTAGTTGTACCAATGAATTATAATCATTTTATTGTAGTGATGAAAAGGAAGGCGCACGTGTCAGGTATTCATGTTCATTTTATGATGATCGATGGAGCAAAAGTCGATTCGTTACTGATGTGAATTGGTCACATAAGGTATATTCCATTTTTTGTTAATGTAAATTGACTGTTCAAATTCCTTACCTAATTTGTCTCGGATTTTAATTGCAGAATCCTGAACTGTGTGTTGCATCATACAACAAGAATCCTTATAACATGAATGACCCAGATGGTGTTGTTTTAATATGGAATTTGAGATTAATACAACGACCGGAATTCGTTTTTCATTCGCAAGTATGATATTTAACATATATATATATATATATATATTTTGAAATAAATACACATTATAAATATCAATGTGAATTTTAGTCGGATGTTTTGACAACAATGTTTTCTGAATTTCACCCGAGTTATATCATTGGTGGAACTTATTCTGGCCAAATCTTAGTTTGGGATATGAGAGCAAAATGCTTACCTGTTCTCAAGACACCACTCTCAACTGCCGGTCATACCCACCCAGTTTATTCGATGCAGATGGTTGGTACACAAAACGCACACAATCTTATCACCGCAAGTACAGATGGCATGGTGTGCTCTTGGCAGCTGGAAACACTACTTCAACCGACGGTAATTATATTCTTGCGTATGTCAACTGTTTTTTTATCCTAGTCTTCATCCTCTTTTTTTTTTTTCCTTAATTTATTTAGGAAACCTTAGAATTAGTTCATTCAGGACACAACAAAACTGATGAAGTTTCAGTTACATCTTTTGGTTTTCCAGAAAATGAAACCTCAACTTTCTGGGTTGGAACAGAAGAAGGCAATCTATATCAAGCGAATCGATTCGGACATGCCGGCGGGTATGTTCTCTATTTTTTTTTTTTTTTTTTTTTTCGAATCAATTTCTTTCTTATAATAATAATGATTAAAACTCTTAAATAAATTTCAGAAAAGCTGGCATTAACCAATATGACACTTATAAAGGGCATTGGGGCCCAGTAACCGGACTTCATTTCCATCCTTTAGTCGGTCCTGTAGATTTCTCGGATCTATTTTTAACTTCCTCAGTGGATTGGACAGTAAAACTATGGAAAGCTAAATCAATTGCGAAACCGTCTGCTACAACACAAACTATCTCTCCATTATACAGTTTTGAAGGAACAGATGATTATATTTATGATGTTAAATGGTCACCTACTAATCCCGCTCTTTTTGGTTCTGTTGATGGTAAAGGAAACTTTGCTGTTTGGAACATAAACGATGATACTGAGGTGAATATTACTTTCTGAAGATTTTACCGGTAAATGATTTCGTATTTTAATGTTAACCAACGGATTATATGTTTTTAGATACCAGCTGTAAATACTCAAGTCGGTAATCGTGCATTGAACAAACTCCAATGGGACAAAGAAGGAAGAAGGGCGGCTATTGGATCATCAGATGGACGTGTTCACGTTTATGATATTGGAGAGGTATTTATTTATCTTGAATTAATATTAATACAATTTATAAACATGCTAATAAATTATTATTGTTGTTATTATTAAGTTATGTAATCCAAGAGAAGATGAGTGGGTTAAAATGCAAAAAACACTTTCGGAAATGAATGATTCTGGAGAAATGATTGGGAAAGCTGCAAACAAAAATAATTAAAAATAATTTAGATAT